AAGTATCCCTTATTCTGTATTATTTGAATGTATTAAATACCTAGATAGAGGATTCTGTCTGAGGCGGTATCCTCTATTTTTCTGCATCTTTTTTTTTAAATTTAATTGTTAATACTATAACCTCATAAAAGCGTCAATTTCATGCTTTAAATATCATAATAATGCATGAGAAAGCTTAACATTGCATAGTTTATCTACCTTCACTTTATACTACACTTACATACAGGTACACAAAGTATTCGGTGACTGTCTGAGGCGGCACTGAATACATTCGTTGTTGAGTATCATATCGAGAATTGTATTAATATTTCACATCATTTTGAATTATTTAAATGCTTTTGTCAAGATATGCAACTATTCTATTCCTGGTACGTACGTTAATGACTTTCTCGAGTTGTGTATGAATTTATCTGCCTTCACTTTATACTAATATACACTTGCATACACGTACATGAAGTATTCGGAGACTGTCTGAGGCGGCACAGAATATATTCGTTGTTGAGTATCATATCGAGGATTGTATTAATATTTCATATCATTTTGAATTATTTAAATGCTTTTGTCAAGATATGCAATAATTCTATTCCTGGTACGTACGTTAATGACTTTCGAGTTGTGTATGAATTTATTTGTCTTCACTTTATAAACTTACATACATGTACACGAAGTATTCGGTGACTGTCTTAGGCGGCACTGAATATATTCGTTGTTGGGTATCATATCGAGGATTGTATAAATAGTTTATATCTCTTTGAATTATTTACATGTTTTTGTCAATATATGCAATAATTCTATTCCAGGTTGGTACGTTAATGAGTTTCGATTATGTATTTATTTTATTTTAGTTAATATTTTTATTATCCATCCTTAGAATTCCATTGATCTATGTTGTGAATAGTTTTGTTAGTATTTACATCGTTATCAAGCTGTATACATTAAGTAATTGAAGCACATTTTTGGGTGGGGCGAGTGACCCTTCTCTGTACGTTCATTGTCCCTCTTGTGGGATGTTTTTGGGCCCCACCTTCTGCTGCATTCTGATATTGTAAAATCTGTAATCTCATTTGGCATTTGTAATAAATGCTCTATACACACACACGCCCTCTTTATTATTTAACATGCTGCAGAACAGAGCTGCAAATGTGCTTCAGGTTCACATGAACCGAATTGTTCATCAGTTTCAGTATTTAAGAGCTCATAAGTGTATTTATGTATATAAAGGAATTTATGTGATCTAAATACGTAATAAATTGCATATTTTTATTAATTACCAATTTGTTTGAATTCATGGGTCCCGAAGGGTTTTCCGGGTTTTATACTTAAGCGTCCTCTAGTAACGGCTATTAGCCTTATCCTTATCAGAATAACATTTCGGCTCCAAAATGTGGTTTACAAATTTTACCCACCACCACCCCTTCAATCCTCCATAATTATTGTTATTGTAGAAAATACATGTACTAGTTTCTTTTACATAAGGTGCCTATTGTTATTGCATGACTTTTGTTATTGTAGAAAACAGATGTACTAGTTTCTTTTGTTTAAGGTACTTATTGTTAATTTTGTAGAAAATATATGTACTAGTTTTCTTTTGTATAAGGTGTGGGATGTTTTTGGGCCCCACCTTCTGCTGCATTCTGATATTGTAAAATCTGTAATCTCATTTGGCATTTGTAATAAATGCTCTATACACACACACGCCCTCTTTATTATTTAACATGCTGCAGAACAGAGCTGCAAATGTGCTTCAGGTTCACATGAACCGAATTGTTCATCAGTTTCAGTATTTAAGAGCTCATAATGTGTTCTAAATCTTCCATGTCCATATCTGCATTCTGGAGTGCTGGGTACCTCTTTCTCATTATGTTATGCAGGCAAACACAAGCTTCCACTATTAATCTGCAGTTGTCTGGATTCTGTTGTAGAGTTGTCAGCAAACACCTGAAACGTGAGGACAGGATTCCAAACGCATTCTCAACCACGCGCCTTCCTCTGGAAATTCTGTAGTTACAGATGGTTTCTTCCTTGGTTAAACCTCTTATAGTGTATGGCTTCATAAGGTAGGGTTTTAAGGCAAAAGCATCATCACCCAGGATAAAGAATGGTACATCAACGTCATCATTGGTCATAGGTTCAGCTGCTGGCAGATGAACTGAACCATCAACAATGCATTTGTGCAGCTCACTGGCGTTGAATATCTGAGCATCAGATTGGTGTCCCAAACCACCAACATCGATCCACAGGAATTTGGCATTCGCATCCACCAGAGCCAGAAGGACGATGGAGCAAAACTTCTTGTAATTATAGTACAGAGATCCAGAACTTGCTGGTTTTCTGATGGCCACGTGCTTACCATCTAGAGCCCCAATTGCATGTGGTACATTCCATCTTCTCTCGAATTCATCAGCAATGGCCTTCCATTCAGCAGCTGAGGTTGGACAGGGTATAACTTCATTCTTGTACTCATCCACAATAGCTTGACACACAAGTGGAATGAATGTAGCTATCGTATGGCGCGATACTCTGAAGTCATAAGAAAGGCTTGGGTAATCTATGCCAGTTGCAAGGTGTCTTAAGGTGACGGTCAACTTCAACCCTGCTTCTATGGCTCTTCTATAGTTAGTGTCCATCTTTTCAATCCTGGGGCCAACCCTGGTCAACAGTTCGTCGAACATCTCCGGTGTCATACGCAGATAGTTCCGATAGGAAGCTTCATCTCCAAGCCTCAGTTCTTTCATGAGGGAGGTATACTGGCCATAATGATCTCTTTGACGTTCTCGTAACCACGGAACAACCCAATATTTCTTTTTAGTATATTTTTTTCTTCTCAGCTTCAACATCGTCAGCATGATCATAGAGTCTTGCTGTAGTTTCAGGGCATGATGTTGCAATAGCATTGCATGATGTAAAGCGATAGGATCCATGCTTCTTTCAGGGTGGTCAAAACTGATGATCGCCCACTGATCGCTGGGTCTTTTTATACGATAGCAGTAGGTCGCTTGTAAATCTGAACGACCAGGGCAAATTTGGCGTAACTCGGACGAGAAGTAGTTGAGAAAAGAACTAGAATTGAGCGTATAGATCGAGGCTAGAACGTTTGTATCGTATCTAAATCGTATTGATCGAGTGTTTATTGCAACTCGTACGCGCCGAAATCGGCCAAAGTCGAGTACTGGTCGGCAGAGGTCGCACACTTTCGAAGATAGGTCGTCGAGAGGTCGATGCTACATGGTAGACTGATCGAACACAACGATCCTTGATCGTGTTAAGATCGAATGGAAAGGCGCAGGTAGAGCGTGCAAAGAGCGTCCATAGAGCGTGTAGGACGCACCAAGAACGTTTACAACGAAAGTTATACGAGATAACATCGAACGTAGAGCGCAGAGAGAAAATAAATGTCTAGGTCGCACGGATTTTTCACGCGACTACGTAAAAACAGAGGTGCGACCATGGTCGCGCGTGGTTGCATGCGATTTTTCCAGATCGTACTTGGTGAAATGGCCCCATTGCGTGAAAAATCAAATATGCATCATCGTCAAAATCCTACCATAAAAATCTGCGGTTGCGATATATATATATATATATATATATATATATATATGTAATATGATCGTGTATGTCGTAGCGGCAGCGTAGCGTAAACGCTGTGAACACGGCCGCTGGTCGGCAGCAGTCTGGTAACATCGTAGTAGATTCATGATAGCAGCGCGTTTGATGTAGAGGCATCGTAGTGCGGTCGTAATGAAAACCATACTTTGCCAAATTGCTCGATTTTGACGCCGATGGGCTCCGATCTAAAACTTTTTAAGATCGTGGTTTGATCGGGATGATCATCATCAAGTCGCAACTCTGTGTAAACGAAGGGGGGGGGGGTAATGAAGACAATAATTTGCCATATTGTTCTATTTAGACGCCGATCGGCTGCCTCAATCCAAAACTTTTTCAGATCGTGGCTGTTCGGGATGATCGTCGTAAGTCACAGCTCTCTGTGAATGAGGGGGGGGGGGGGGGTTAATGCAAGCTTCTTTAGATTTTAGAAACGATATTAAAGGAGTTGATATTTGTATCTAAAAATATGTTTAAAGAAATCGTTCTTTTAATCTTGCCTTTGTAACCCATGTTTATTAGTGTGATATGAAATTAGAAGTGATCAATAGTACTATTTTTTCTGTGATAGTAAACACTTCATTCACTATGCATTATTAAATGATCGAAGTATAAGTACCGAAAAAGTATAAAAATCATACACTTTTCTTCAAAAACCTGTATGCTTAATAGATTTTTATTCCTAAAATGTATTTATTGACCAATTTTCAATTAGAAATAATGCATAAGGTAGTTTTATTTACATTTCCTGAAAATTAATATGCGTGGCGCAGTGGTTAGAACGTCTGCTCTAGAGTCGCGAAGCATAAGGAGTCAGTCGATCCCTACGTCGTGGGTTCGAATCTCACTGTGGGACGTGGAGACCGGTCCTTCGTATATCATGTCGCAGTAAGTGCTGACACGATAAAGATCCTCACTGCTCAATGGCCCTGAGTGCCGAGCATAGGACAAAACTTGTAGCTCTCCATCGGCAAGTGGCGGTGTCTCCATACGACTACGAGTGAAAAATTCATACGACTACGAGTGAAAAATTCTCGAGAGGAACATTAAACATCAACCAATCAATCAAATTTATTTAAGATATACTAATTTTCCCTACATAATATGATTACCATTGAAGATGACGTTTAAACAAACACAGTGGGTAATACACATTACTTTGAGAAAAACAGACATCTTTGTGATCATTTTCAATTACTTAATGCCTTATTTTCAAAACCTGAGGATCGCACTATTCTTAGCATTATATAAAGGCCAAGATAAACTATTTGCATATATTTTCTTCAAGGAAGTAAGCAACAGTGATTTCTTGTCATTGATACTTGGTTGTATTTAAGCACTATTCACGGGGGAAAATATACTATGCATTGCAAAGAAAGATAATAAAAGTAAGTTACCCATCAATGCTAAAGGAGCTGTAGTATCCTTGTCTATTCAGATCACTAAATGATGATGTTTTGATGTTTTCTTTCCTGAACCAGCTCAATTTGTCTCTTGAAGGTTCAAATACAATATATTTCTTCTCTATCCCTCCACCGTAAACAGCTAGTTTTACCTAAAATTGAAATTTCTTTCTTTTCTCGTTTTTATTTCTTACATCATTAACGTCTTTGTTTTCACTGATAATTATAACTTTAATTAAATTCAATGTTCTATAATAATTTTGAGAGGCAGAAAAGAAGATATTTTCATACGCCACCATTCCGCCAAAAATATAGTCCCTGCTAGTTTTCAAACGCAGTTTACCTTTCTATTTAAAGTTGTATAATTGTGATGAGGAAAGGAAAATATGGTCTTTTAAATCTCTTACACCTAAATATTTAGAATATATAAGCCAATATTTAAATATTCCATCTAGTCAGAAACCAGAGAAGAAACCTACCTTAAGCATGAGTAATAGTAATATTTAGCTGTGCACAGGCTATTTTCGCCGTTGGAACATTCCTTTTGTTAAGTTTTTAATTGATTTTTCCTTTTTAGTACTAGCTTTACCTTATGCTTATTTTTAGATATAAAAAGGAGAAACGTTTAGTGCAAGAAAATATAAAAAAAATCACAGCAACTTCCTTAACAATAGTTAAGTAATAGCAAGATTCTTTCGGGGGGTCCGGGGGCTGACAAATTCTTACAAATAAGAGATGTTTTTTCTTTGGTTTTAGGATAATGGACATATAAGTTTTACATATTAAAAAATTCAAACACAGGGGGGGGGGGGGGGGGGGGGGCACCGGCGCTGGATACGCCTTTGTAACTTTATTACTACTAGTATATTCTTCAAATAAGGAGACGCATAGTAGGAACAATACACTGAAAAAAGGAAGATATTTTGTCATACAATTTTTTTTGGAGGAATAAGATTTACTCCAGTTAAATGCGTTATTTTTAACGCTATGGTATATAAATGTTGCAATTATTCTAAAAATCTCACAGAAAAAAGATCCGATTTTGAAAAATGTTACGCACAGCACCATACCTTACCAATTAAACATATACCACTAAGGACCACCCAATGTTCGCAAAAATATAGCAATCCACATGTGACACCAGAAGCAAAGGATCGCGCCAGATGGGTAAATTACGAATATTTCAAAATAATGTCATCTACAGCATTAGCTATACCTAAACTGCACAGAACATTAAGTAAGACCGTTTGCAGTTGACTACGTAATTCACTACGTAATGCTGAAATTATTGCAAGAGGACTATTCGTGCCATTTTTCTGACCCGACATATCGACTTCAAAGATCTCAGACCACCAGAGTAGGGCCACAGCAACACCGCTGAACATTATGCTTTAGTTACTGTTTATCTTAAAGCCATATATAAGTTTCAGAGTGCATAAGTTTCGTAATGAACTTTAGACAATAAATTGCCTCCAGGACGTTATAAGAATTTGGTGGTGGTAGTGTAATGATATGGAAAACGGTATTACTTAAAAGCAAGACTGATTCGGTTCATATTCAAAGGACTTTGATGGAAAAGGGTATTTTTGCAATGTTCTACCTGCACATGCTTTTTTAAATTTTGCAGCATCCGGGGGCTGTATTTCAATCTGACAATACACGACAAAATATGGCTCGTTTGATGATCACATTCTTGCAAAGCAACAGCAACCTCTTTCTGCCATAGTCATCTAAATCACTAGTTTTAAACCCAATTGAGCAAGCATTTTACAAAATGGATTGTAAAAATTTGCCAAGGACAATCGCATATCCAGAATTGAGTAAAAATGACATTTAGAATATATCAGTATAACTACATTCCTGTATTAATTATACATCATTTTACAAATTAATCTTTATGTTCAGTTTGCTACTAAAATTTTACTATGCGTTCCCTTTTTGAAGCGCGTATTTACAACTTATGTACGTATATTTTCTAAGGATTGATTAAAGTTCTCCCAGATATTTCAAAACATCAATTACAGGATTAATTACTAGAATATGGACAATTAAAAACCCCAATTATTACCAAAGGATTATAGATACTCCTATTTGTTGTCTACTAAATATCTGGAATAAACAAAAAATAGCATTCTGTTGCAGAATTTTTGAATTTGAATTCATGAAAAATATACCTCATGAATTTTCATTTTCCCCCAATTGTCCACAAGCTTGTTCTTATAGTGAGAGCTACATCTTCTTCCTATTTGATCTGCACAGCTAATATTTTCCCCTACAGTACCCGATTTAGTCCATAAATCATAAAGGTTATTCTTTCCACCAATTTGCCCAGATGATCCTCGAAATACCATCAGCCATTGCTGGCAGAGTGATGTAGATAAACAAACTACAAATAAATTAATGTATAAAAGTATGAAAAATGATGACATTTTAAAATTCAGTCCTTATTTTGAAAGTATATAAGATAGTATACAAACCAGCCGTGATCAGAAGTGTTATCTCAGAGAACTTAAAGCAAAGAGAATCCATCGTATACTGTTTATAAAAAACCTATCGAGACCTTTAAATTCAATTTTTTTCTGTGCTCTGTCCGATTTTATCGGAGTTAATCTGCATTCAATGTGTGACGCAAATTTGTAGTACTTTGAACTACTAGTTTGCTTCTGACCAGGCACAAAGGTTTGGAAGTCAAAAAGACAATATCATTTTCTTAAAGTCTCTTAACGAGTCAAAACTATAAATTCCTTTTAGATACCTGTATCATTAAGCGAAAAAAATATAAGAATTGTTAGAGGTTAACGAAAACATGACAGCTAAACTGCACTGTTAACCAAAAAAAAAAAAAAATCCAAAATATAACCGGAACAACAAAAGTTGTAATGCAATGGGGGTTGGAACAGAGAAGGAAGGGTCCTTTTCCTTACAGAGGAAAAGTGTTGTTAACACAATTCTGATATATTGACAGTTCGTTTCTTAATGGTATTTTTTTTAAGTTTGAAATTTGTATATAGAAATGACTATCTGTAAAGATGCATGTAGATAAAGATTTCCTGTAGTATTTCTGAGCTCTATCAAAGAAAAACTGGATAGATACAAAATTAAACTGGTCTGATATATGATAATCTTATCAAATTATTTTGCAGTTTTGTTCCACATTCTTAGTTTTTTTTTTCCAGATCGATAATGTTCACCCTAACAACTGTCAAATAAAGCACTTAATGAAATGTATTCGCAAACCTTCTAAACTTCCATTTTCACTAAGTCTGGGGTGATATTAGAATTAGAAAGACTACATAAACATTATTTTATAGTTCAATCAGACAAGGCTAGTAACAATATAATCTTTGTAAGGCTTATTTATATAAATGCATTTTTAAACAAGAGGCCCACAGGCCACATCGCTCACCTGAGTTACTTGGGTGATGCAGTTCTTAAGCAGATTTCCCCTCTTGCTATACCTATCGTACCCCCTACCCCCTCCCCTTACATGATTTTAATACTTTAGAATCTACACTACCAAAGGATGCTTCCACATAAGTTTCAGCTTTCCTGGCCCAGTGGTTCTTGAGAAGATTTTTAAAGATTTGTTCTATATATTTCTATGTAAAACTTGGATTCCCGATTGTGACCCCGCCCTAACCCAGGGGGTAATGATTTTAACAATTTAATATCTACACTACCCAAGGTTGCTTCCACATAAGTTTCAGTTTTCTTGGCCTAGGTGGTTCTTGAGAAGAAGATTTTTTAATGACCCACCTATTTTTGTCTTTTCTTGATTATCTCCTCTTGGAAGAAAACTTGGCCCTTTATTTTAACAATTTAAACTGCCCCTTTCCCAAGGATGCTTTGTACCAGGTTTGATTAAATTTGGTTTATTGATTCTTGAGAAGAAGTCGAAAATGTGAAAAGTTTACAGACGGACGGACGGCTAGACGGACGACGGACAAAATGTGATCAGAAAAGCTCACTTGAGCCTTCAGCTCAGGTGAGTTAAAAAGTTTTAATTTTGCTTTTAAAAACCCTTTAATATACTTTTTACTTTCTATGGATAATTTATTTTCAAAACCAAACTCCCGTCTTATAAAGTAGATGATTCATACTAATTGTTTGGCCATTTTATACAGTTATATGACCAGTTCCAAATAATAAACGGATAAATATACGAGGCATTATTTCAAAATGTAAGGTTTTTTTGTCAAGGTAGTTCAATGACTTGTAGAATTAAATATTGTTTCATAAAAGCTCAGACCCCCCCCCCCCCCCAAAAAAAAAAAATTTCGCAAGTTAACATCGGTGTCGATTTTACCAGATACGAATAAAGCGACGAGTTCTGAATACCCTAGCGGTACCCATTCAATTCAACCCTAAATTAAAAAAAATATACGTCCCAAACATTATCCATTGAAAAGTTTAAATCAGTTGCTTACCGATAAGTTATTTGTATTTCCAAATGATAAAGAGAAACTAGGGGAACTGTGAGCACTGAGCTCACTTTAATGATACCCCACGCCAACTATATGATTATTATGACAAAGTCCATGTTTAGTTCTGGGAGACCCGAAGTAAGTATCAGATCAAAAAGTAAAATACGATGTCACATATATAATGGCACAATGTAATAAAGAATCTATGAAAGTATCATTAAATCATATTCAGTGGAATGGAGGAACTCGGCAGCTGGGACTGGTCGTCAGGGGATGTTCTCTCGTCCATGGCACCTAATCCTACCACTGATATTTTGGTGGTCCGTGATTGCTCTGCTACTGTTTTGTAATGTTTAAAGGGCTTGTGAACTGTTCGTAATCTCCACATGTTCATTCAAACAAACCTTTTTCAAGAATCTTTAAATCAAAAACTTAAAATTTCAATGGATAAATACAGAATTATTTAATAACAGAAATTAGCAGCCTTTTAATTTTTAAATAGGGTAAATTCATGGATCAAAAAACATTTCCCACAAGGGCCTGGCTCCCAACCATCTCTTACAAATTATATAGTGACAACTCGTTTATTGTAATGGATTGGATGTGTTACGTAGAGGTGTGATTAGAAACTAGTTTGGAATTTCAATTTTCAGACGCGGGTTGGGGGTAAAAACGCAGTGCCGTTTATTTCTACATCAAATATTGCTTCCTGA